GGGCGCGGGGAGGGGGCGCTGGGGCCGGAGCCGCAGCGCGGGAGGGACGAGCCCGGGCCGGGCGGGGGAGGGGAGCGGGAGGCGTCTTTGTTGTTGGCGACCGGGATCCCTCTCGGCGCCGGGGAAACGCGGGGAAGCCGCCCCCGATCGGGTCAGTGTTCGGGGGAGGCTTCTCCGGTGGTTCCGGGCACGGGAGGCGGGGCAGGGTCCCTGCGGTCGGGGAGGCTGCGGGAGTCTGGGGGCGGGGGAGGGACAGAAGGACGGTCGGACAGACAGACTGGGAAGGGTCGTGGGTGTTCCTTGCGGAGAAGGGTCTCGTGTCCCGTCCTTTGCTTGTCTCTCCGTGGACGGAGATGGGGTCAGGTTCCTGTCCCCTCCCTGGCTCGCCGTGAGGTTCGCGATGCCTGAAAGCTCTCTCCTGAATGTCCTCGTGTGTGCCAGCCTCGATTTTAGATCGAATCTGCCCGGTGATTTGTGTGTTCCGCTCGGGCCGCCCTGGGATTCTTCAGTACATGGTTGAACTTTGATCTTACCTGTTTTCGAACTCCAGGGTAGGCTTATCAGAACTTGTTTTTGAATTGGAAAATTAGAGTTTTTGTTTGGAATTTTTTTAACCCTGAAACCAAAGTTCTGTTAAGTTAGATTGTACTGTTGTGGAGGGCTTGTGTAAAGCAAGAGTTTAACCCCGGCTTCTTGTTTTAAAAAAAATGTTCACCGCTTTGATCCATGGTGAGATTGCTGCCAGTGCCAGGAAACGATTTTTTTTTCCCACGGTGCTTTGATTTAAATCAGTGTGAGGTGAATTTGGTAAGTAGAAGGATGGATAACGGAATACAGACAGGGTGACCTTTAAATTTTGGCTGTTAGTTTATGAAAAGGTATTCCTGTTTAATACTTTCTGTGATATATAATACTTGATTCGCAAGATGATTCATTGATTTTTTTTTTTTTTCCTCCAAAGCCCCAGTAGAGAGTTGTATGTCATAGGTGCACATCCTTCTAGTTGCTGTATGTGGGACACGGCCTAAGCATGGCCAGAGAAGCGGTGCGTCGGTGCGCACCCGGGATCCGAACCCCCCCGGCCGCCAGCAGCGGAGCGGGCGCACTTAACTGCTAAGCCACGGGGCCGGCCCTCATTGATTATTTTTAAAGGTTGCAGTTAATAAAAAGAATTTTGGGGTCTTGTGTCAGCATTTGAAACTACCTAATGAGTCTGAATAAAAAGTAGGTACATGTTGTAGTAACATTCATCTATTTACATTAACAGGGAGACTTACAATAAAATAAACTTTTCTCCATAAAGAGTTTATCTCTTCATATGTTTATAGCATAAACTCATTTGGGTGACATATCTAATATCCAAGCATAGCCAGTATTTTGATAATTATCATAATTGCCAGTGTTCTAATTTGGGACTGCCCACCTCCTTGCTTGTTGGTAAATTTTTATTTTGGGAGTAGGGGCGATGGCTTACTTAACGAAGAATAGAGATGGGCATGTTTCAACTTATAAAGAAATAAAATCCCTGTTGTGCAATAATTGCTATATTATTTGAGATCCGGGAGGAGGTGAATAGCATCCTCATGCATATTTTGACCTGTCTTTTCTCCTACTCCAGTATTAATAAGGTTAATTGGCAAGGATGGGATTAGATATTTAGCAGGCTAGGCAGTTTTAATTTTGTCGCTTGCTGTGCAGTGCTGTAGTTGATAAGTGGCTTGTTTCCTTGAGTATCTTTGCCCATTTTGAAATGTGTATGAAATGACATGACAAAGAATTTTGTATTTCCTGTGACAAATAAAATTACCATAAAGCATCATGGCAAAGTAATGTTTTTGGTAGCTTAATGAACACAGAACTAGACAATTAGTGTCTGTTCCAAGTTCTGTCACTGAATTGGTCTGTAACTCCAGGCAAGCTATCCCACAGCTGAGTCAGTTTCTCCATCTGTAATATAGGGCTAATAAAATGTGCCACATGCTCACTTTATACAAAGAGCAGTGAGAACCAACAGTTACTCTGGTTATGTGACATTGATTGTTTTAGTTAAATAAGAGTAATTTTTAATGCATCTCTCTCGTTTTGGTATTAAGAATTTCAATTCCTTGGTGATAAATGAGCATAATGAAACAGTTATAATAGGGAAACAAACCCAGCCTTGTGAATTTGAGAGAAAAAATGATGTTTTATGACATTTTTACAGATGAAATAAATAAAACCCAGAGAAGTTAATTGTTTGAACTGCCTAAAGCTAAAAATTTGTAAGGAGCAGAAGTGAGACTTGAGCCTGGATCTTCAGACTTGTAGTCCTGAATCCTTTGCTTTGGAGCAGTGTTTTTGAAATACTGTCTAGGCCCAACAGTTTTTGCCAATTCAGGTGAAGTGAGAAATAATATAGCAATATAAGTATTGGCAACATACAATATAATGAATATCCATGCACCTGTTACCCAGTTGAAGAAATAAAACTACAAAACAAAATGAAGCCTTCTCTGTACTTTGTACCCTCTTAAATCCTACTCCCTCTTCCCTGCCCAACCACTAACCTGAAATTGATATGCATCCTTCTTCTCCATGTGTTTATACTTCGCTACATATCTTTATATCCATGAACGTTATATAATTTTTCTTTGATTGCTTTGAGACTACTTAGATATGATGTTTGTATCTGTAGCTTTCTTTCTTACCTCAGTTCGACAAGACTTATCCACGTTTATTCAGGTAGCTCCAGTTGTTTATTTTTACGGAGATGTGGTGTGTGTTCCATTATGTGACTGTTTCAGGTTTCTGTTGGTCATTTTAGTTGTCTCCAATTGTTTGCTTATTAAACAGTGCCTCAGGGAATATTCTTGTATATGTTTACTAAGCACATGTGCAGGACTTCCTCTAGGGCAGTGGTTCTTGACCCCATATCCCATTTTTATAGAAATATTTTACAACTTTCTCAATACAGTCCTAAAATGAAATTCATAGTAATAAACTTACATTCATATTTTAAAGAAGATAATGCCCTTACTAAAATATAAGAAGTAATCTGTAGCAAAGTGATGTATTTCACTGTGTAAATGCTGAGGCTCAGCCACACTCCAGTCTTGCTACCAAGTGTAATGATACGCCAGTAACATCAGAATTCTGGGAGCCTGTTAGAAATCAGAACCTCAGGCCCTACCCTACTGATGCAGATGCTGAATTTTAACAAGATTCTCCGGTTATTTGTGTGTGTGTTAAAGCCTAAGAAGCACTGCTAGAAGAAATAGCAGTAGCCAGTACTTTGCACCAATGGGTAGTATACCATGAATAGTACAGCTACGAATGCAGTTTAAAACAGGTGTGTTGAATTGACTATTCAAGTACCAGTGGTAGCACTGTTGTTGATAAATGAGTTTCTGAAATAACGAACTATTTTCAGTAAAGTTTGAACAAAAATGAAAGTGCAGTCTTCTCTCTTACATAGTGATTGCATTCTTAAAAATCTTCATCTAGGTTAAAACAATACAAATATACTCTAAGTCGTGTTTATAAGTATCTGACCTTACTTTTTCCCCCGTTCCCTTAAATTGAGTGTCCAGCAGAATATTCAAAAGTCATGTGATATGGGGCAGCATTATCTTTAGTACCAAGAGTGCCTGGCATCCCTAGCGTCTGTTCAGTGGTCCCCTCATTCGTTATAACAACTAAACTGTCATTTGAGAAAGAATGCCCAGTGGGCTGGCCCAGTGGCGTAGCGGTTAAGTGTGCGCGCTCTGCTGCTAGCGGCTCGGGTTCGGATCTGGGGTGCACACCGACGCACCACTTGGCAGGCCATGCTGTAGCGGCGTCCCATATAAAGTGGAGGAAGATGGGCACGGATGTTAGCTCAGGGCCAGTCTTCCTCAGCAAAAAAAGAGGAGGATTGGCATGAATGTTAGCTCAGGGCTGATCTTCCTCACAAAAAAAAAAAAGAGAGAGAAAGTGCCCAGCCTTATAAATCTTTTAGTAGATTGGTAGAACACAGGGTATGAGCTGCTTCTCCAGCTTTATTAGATAACTATCAGTTGTCTCTCCAAAATGTTTGTATCAGTAATGGATATGAGAGGGTCTATTTTTCCTCCATCCAAATACTTTAGACTTCTTAAGTTTTGCCATTCTGAGGAGGATGAAATGGTACCTCATAGCTTTTCATTTACGTGTCAGTGATTAGTCCTGTAGTTGAGAACACTTGCATTAATTTTTTTGACCATTCACATTCCTTTTCTGTGAATTGCTTATTCAGTTTTTCTATAGGGTTATCTTATTGATTTGTAAATGCTTTTTATGTATTCTGGATAGCAATACTGGGTAAGCTTTACAAATGTCTTCTAGTCTTTAGCATGTCTTTTGTCTTTAAATATGGTGTCTTCTGATGACTAAATGTTCTTAATTTTAATGTCAAATTTATTTTTTTATGATTATGCTTTTTCTCTTTAAAGGAAGTCTTTTCTATCCTGAGGTTATAAAGATTCTGTTATAGGGCTGGCCCAGTGGTGTGGTGGTTAAGTTCACACACTCCACTTCAGTGGCCTGGGGTTTGGATTCTGGGTACGGACCTCCACACCACTCATCAAGCTGTGCTGCGATGGCATCCCGCATACAAAATAGAAGAATATTGGCACAGATTTTAGCTCAGCAACAGTCTTCCTCAAGCAAAAAGAGGAAGATTGGCAACAGATGTTAGCTCAGGGCCAATCTTCCTCACCAAAAAAAAAAAAAAAAACCGATTCTGTTATAGCTTCTTTTAAAAGTTTTACTTTTTCACATTTAAATCTTAAATTCACATGGAACTATTTTTATGTAGTGAGATGTTTGTGAGTCTAAATTTACTCAATAAAAATGACTACCCTTTATACTGAAATTAGTCATTGTTTTATGTTAATGTGTTCCGATGAAATTATAATGATAGTAGGTTGTATTTAGTTTGCAACGTTCCTTTGTGGCAAAATTAAAATTTGGCAACTCTTGTCATTTCTACCTTTTTTTTTTTTTTTAATTGTACTGGTTTTTGAAGTCCATAAGGTTTAGGAAACACTGCTTTAGAGTATTCTGACTCCTATGTTTCCTCTGTGACTCGCAATCAGCCTCTAAAGTGTAATAGAAAGTGAGCAAGCCCTCTTACGTACTGATCTCTCATCATTATTTTGCATCCTCCCTTTTTCAGTTTGTTTTACATGTTTTTTCATCACTTTTTATTCAGGCTGGAATTTGTTGTTGTTGTTGTCATCTTCGTCGTTGAGGAAGATTTGCCCTGAGTTTATATCTGTTGCCAGTTGTCCCTTTTTCCCCCCCCCCCCCCAATGCTTGAGGAAGATTCACCCTGAGCTAACATCTGTGCCAATGTTCCTCTATTTTGTATGATGGCCTCCAAGGAGTGGTGTGGGTCCACGCTTGGGAACTGAACCCCGGGCCACCAGAGTGGAGCATGCCGAACTTAACCACTAGGCCACAGGACTAACCCTGAGGCTAGAATTTTTTAAATGATACTTATGACCCTAATTTTTTTAACAGAATTTCAGACTAAATTTATTATTTTAATGTTAGTTGGCCTAGATATAGGCCTTAACTATTTTGTTTTCCCAGGAATTAAAAGTGAGAATGGTTAAACAAGTTCTTGCATACAGTTAAAGATGAAAAATGGAAAAGGAAAAATGGCCCAGTGTCTACTGTGTATCAGTCACCATTCTAGGTTCTCGAGGTGCATCTGTAAACAAAACAAGCAGAGATCTCCAACTTCCTATGGCTTACCGCCTAGCAGAGGACCATAGGCAATATGCACAATAAATAAAATATCTAATATGTTAGAAAGTGATAAATACTTCTAAAGAAAAAGAGAAGGGTAAAAGAGAATCAAAGGAGGCAGTTTGACCTATTAAATAGGGTGGTTAAGGTAGGCCTCATTGAGAAGAGAAGGAGGAGCAGAGATGTGCAGTGAGGGCATTAGACATGCAGCTATTAGCAAAAGCTTGGAAGAGTGGACAGAATATAGTCTTTAAGTTAAGCCTGTGTTCCTGGCTCTCCCACTTAATAAGTTGTGTGAACTTGAACAAGATAATTGGCTTAATAACCTGAAGCCTTGATTTTCTCGTGTGTAAAAGGATGATAACTTGAGAAAAATATTATTAAGATTAAGGGAGATAACGAGTGAAAGCAACTACCTCCTGCCCCCCACCTAGTTCTCATGTAGCACTCTGTACTTTATTTTCATAGCATTTA